GGGGCGGGGGGATGGTGGAGGGGTAATAAACCAGGAAAGTAGGCTAGTTGACAACTAATTGATTGTAAATTGGATATAGACTTGTCCTTCTTTAGATACATTTGATTTCTGGGTAGGTGCAGCAAATAAGAGATAAATTAAGCTTTGTTGGTACATGCATGTCATTTTGCCCAATAAATTCAACATATTTCTGCTTAGTCCCCTGAACACAGAAAACATCTTCCCTCACATACAGTGGTTAATAAATCTTTCTTCCTGCAAGAGAAATTAGAAATATTTGGAAAACATATCCTTGTATTGTTCTAGTCCTTGTGACATTGTTTTTCGCTCTGCATTAAAAAAAAAAAAAAAAATAAATTCAGAAATAGTTTTCAGTAAAAAGTTTTGGAAAAGCCCAGTAAGATTACTTTCCCCCTAGAAGCATGGTGAAATACAAATTTTAAAAAGCTCCCTGCCTATACTGCAGATACCAAACCAGTAGTATATTCTTGAAAATTTAATTGACTACAAAGCTTTAGACAACTACTTCTTCTTTTGAAGGATATCATATATTCCTCAAGCTTCTTCAGAAAATCTGTTTCCTCTAAATAAGAATAACAAAAATAACCCCATTCTGTCCCAGGATCAGACTGTCATTGCACTCAGCATGTGATCATTTAGTAGTAAGAGTTCATGTCACAAATTGTGCGTTAGTAATTCTCTTTGACTCTGTCATATACTTTTACTAACCAGAGATGTTGGTGTACTGCATGTTTTCAGGTGACTTTACATAGGCTTTCACACTAGGGCATTTCTATGACTTATCTCAACATATTAACATTAAAGGAAATACGTACTTGCTTAAACCACTCCCATTTCTTCACACTTTTCTGAATTAGCTGTTCAAGTGATAAGTAAAACCCCAGAAGGCCTGTTTCACTGCCAAACATTTGCTGAAGTGTAGGAACATTTCTCAGTTCTGCAGCGCAGTTTAGGTACTAGAAGTATTATAGAAAATGTCTGGATATTGCACATGATACTGCAGTGTTCCTCCCCAGGTTTCCTGTTTGCCTGTCAACAAAATAAATTGCCTTTTGCTCAGCTTCTGTGAAAGAATGAACTCAGGTGTTTCTACATAGCATTGCATTGTAAGCTGAATGATGCTGCAGTACTTACACATGTACATATTTAGGTATGCTAATTTTGCTAAAGGTAAATACAATTTCTCACTAGCTATATACTTGACAACCCTTATCTAAATATTTAGTTGCCTCTTATGCAACTGAGTGTCAATACAGCAAAGCATCTTAGTGTGTGTCTAACATGGGGATCAATAAGACTTTCGTTGTGTTTAAGGTGAAGTAAAAGATTTAGTGCTTTACTTGATCATCATGAGTCACAGGAATTGTAAAGGCCTTATTCCTCTCATTCCCAGAATCTCCTAAATTACTTCCAAATTAATGTCAAATGAAAATTGAAATTTATTAGACTGATAGTGGCCAATCTAGATGGATAGGGACAGAAATAAACTTGTTTCAGTTTTCTGGTGCAGTTTATTGCTTAGTTAGACCAGCTTTGTCAGGTGTTTGTTTAACCTGTTGTCAAATAGATTCTTAACCATAGTCCACATAGAGACTTGAACCTGTTAAATGCCTCATCATTCTGAAACACTTGGGACATTTTCTTCATGAACATGCAACCTCTCTTTATCTTCTGCGAATTAATATTCTCCAAAGCCTTTAAATGCTAATTCTTATGCAAAACGGTGTTTATTTTCCCTTTCCAATCAAACCCAATTAGAAAAATTATTTCAGGAGGTTGGGTATGGGAAAAAAAACAGTTGAAACAGAGGCCTTTTGTGAGACCAATGAAAAAAATCTTTTTGGATTCAACATAAACATGATTTCCTCTCTATTACAAGAACTAGCACATAATGGCCATATTTCAGTGAACTATGCCATCTCACTTTTGAATATGTGCTTAAAGTGGGAGCAAAATATTTAATTTCAAAATAATTAATGTGGCTGTATGGCAGAGGAAAGTTTCCACAGAAAATTAGCTTGAAACATCTTTGTTAGTCCACAGAAATTGCTTTGGCTTACACTCCTACAGTGCAGAAAGTGTAGTAAATGCAAAATTGCTAACCTTTATTTGTGGAAAAAATATTGTAAAATTCCACAGTCTTTTTTTTACTACAGAATGTCAAGTAAACATTAACTTAATATAGAATAGGTGATAGCATAAACTCATGTCTTAAAACATTCACTGTTGTCTCATCTTACTCTCAGACAGTCATAGCAAAGCCAGACATTTCATTATACTGCTTAAAGAATTTGACTCAGATCTTGTCAAAACAGTGAGGACCCTTGCAGCAAGTGTAAGTTAATAAACATAGAATTTGCACATATAAATCTACAAGTACATGTTTCCTCATGAGATTTTCTTGCCCCAAACTATCTAGAAAAAATTTCTCTAAGGATTTATTTTCCTCCATCTGCTGCCTTGTTACAGGGCAAGTCACTTTTTGATTAAAAAGTCTGGGGGGAAAACAACAATGAAGTAAATTAATGTTTTATCAGATGTTAACCTTTTTTTTTCATTTCAGAGAGAATAAATTAGGAAAAAGTAAATTGCTCACATTTTAATTAGGAGAAGAAAATGGTGGGCTTATGCTTATATTTTAAGGAGAAATTATTTTAACCAATTACTCAACCACTGGGGAAATTAATGTGGAGCCTCGGAATTACTGTGTGTAATGTAAAAGAAATCCAAACTGTCTAATCAGAAAAATGTTAAGTTTCCAAAAGCAAGATTTCAGTTCCATTGAACAGCTTCAGAAAAAAAGTTGGTTTGAATAACTAGAGAAACAACTGCACAAACTGATTAATGCTGGGAAAAATGCTTTATTTTGGATATGAGAACTTTGGTGCATAATTTTCAGTGCTACTTTAGAAAAACACTTTTTTTTCCTTTTTTTCTTTTTTTCATTCTTCTCGGGCAGTGAGAGTTGGCATTGGATTAGAGCAATTTATGACAACATGAACAATATTTTAGAACCAGTAAAGTGCATTTGTATATGTAGATTTATATTTTACTTAGTATTTTTTATTTTAGCTCTGAAAAACTGTTATGCTTTCTACTTGCTGTATTTTAAGAAGAACACCAGGAGCAAGTTCTGTGAATCATGTCATCAATAACAATCATGGCCAATAGATTCAAATTTAAATATGTGTATGGTTTTATATATATATATGAAAGACTGTAGTTGTACTGGTTATACATTGAAATAATCTTTAGAAATACACTTTAGTCAGTATTTAAGACTCAGATTCAGGAAAATGTATAAAAAAGTAGCTTATCTCTGGATGAGTGTTTAAGTTAGAGTATTTTGCTGTTCTGCTGTATTTCCCACAAGAGGAGGTCTTATTAGAGTAATCATTTACACTAATCTATGTGATGCCTTGTGAGAGAAACCCAGATTCCTCCAGCAGAAGTTGGTGTTATTTTCAAATAATATATTGAATGTGTCCTTGTAGAATTCACAGTCCCAAAACCTGGTGTAAACTGAGTCCCTGAGAGACAAGACTGTAAAGAATGACACTGTACATAGTTGTTACAAACATTTACAGATGCATTGTTTGAAGAAGATGTTCTCTCTGAGGAAGAAAGAGGGCTGTATAGAACAGTCTAGATGTAGTTATCTGTTTAGATATGACATGAGACTAAGACAAACATATTTACAATAAATGTAAAAAATACTTAAATCAACCTTCCAATTGAAGTGACAGTTGCAGAGAAGGCAAATGATCATAGATCATTGGCCTTGTGATTGCACATCATATTAGAGACATCACTTTATGCAATGAAAAGCTTTTAGACACTTTTAAGAATGAAAGTCCCCTTTGTCACCTTGCCTAGCATTCTTTAAAAATAGATTTTAAACAACTTCTCCCTTCAAAGTTCATGGCTTTTCAGCAGTGCAAAGTAAAGCTTACTCATTTTGCTTATTTCTAAGTTCTGCTGAAGTTCCTGAGGATGTGGTGTCCCATGGTACTTGAGTTTAGTAACCTTTCCTTATCAGTGTGATTTCTGAAAGACCTTCCCTTTGCTGAGGTTTGAGAGCCATGCAGGAGCAAGCAGTGGCTTTCGATCTTCTGTAAAGAAACTCTCTCTGTTAAAACTGGAAATTTATTTATTTCTTATTTTGACATATAAAGACTGAACGTATTTTCTAAAACATAGAGGTACAGCAGGCAAAGAATGTTAATGATACAGAAATGTTAGCAGTGAAATGCATCATCTTCTTGAAGAGCATTTCTTAGTGTTGGATATGTTGTTCTGTCACATAACTTTTCCTGTTCCTTTTAAAAGGAGTCTGATACTTAGAAACAGAATTCTTGTTTAAGATCTGACCAAGTCTTGCTGCTCATTCTACATTGAAGTCATCATCTGCTGACATAATTATTTTTGCAGGGACCAGTTATGATGTATCAGTCAGAGAATTATAAATTCGGAATAAGCAGCAGATCAATGCTAAAAAGAAATAATAATTATGATTTGGTGAAATTGCCCCTTGTGATGAAAGGAATTTAAAATATGATGGAAAAGAAGAATAGGTCAGGAAAATAAAAAAAGCTTAGAAACATAGATTCATCAAGGTTGTAGGAGACCTCTAAGATCATCAAGTCCAACTGTTAACCTGTCATTCTACTGTAACCCCTAAACTCTAAACTGTTCTTCCAGTGCTAGATCCAGATGCCTCTTAAACATTTCCAGGGATGGTGACTCCACCACCTTCCTGGGCAACGTATTCCAGTGCTTGATACATGCTGTACCTCTTCAAGCAGAATATTTTTCAGGTCCTTGCTTTTGTATAAATTTTATGCCCATTATCGGAAAAAAACCATGTTATTATATAAGGGAAATTTCAAAATATGGTAACATATTTTACCAAGTAACTTTTGATTTTGATAAAAACAGGATCTTTGAAGAACATGTCAGTACTCCATGTGACAAAAAAAGCACATCTGTCTAACTGCTATTTCCCACTGTCCCATGTGATGACTTGCACGACACCTCTTCCTCTTTCTCTCCATTTCTATGTTACCATCTTCCCAATTATGTACTTGCCTGCCTTACTGCTGTGTTCTCAGCTGCAACAGGGAGCCATGTCTGCAACTGCCTTCCTTTGCAAGGCACAGTGATAGTGCAGCTGGGAGCTGCTAGCTACTGCACAGTATCAAGGCATTACATGTCTAATTTTATTTTCTGTTTATAAGGTCTCCTGGCTTTTGTTCACTTTATTTCTACATGTATTACTCTTTCAAATTGGTTTCTTTCTCAGTTCAACAACGCTAACTTCCCCAATTTCTATAAAACATCCACAAAATCTGGTGTATGATTTGCACTAAAGTGCTTGTGAATTCTGTGGTGCATACAACATGCAGTTTGGCTCACATGAGTTTGTCCTAGTGTCGCCTGTCCTTTTTTCTTCCCTAAATTTTCTGAGATTTTATTTTGCAGTAAAAAAAAAAAAGAAGAAAAAGAGTTTAATTCTTCTTTCTATTGCATTGTTGACTGTTTTGATTCTTATGCTTTCCTTGTTTCTGTTGAATTATAGGATGAAGTTTGTCCCAAAGCAGATGGTGATCCTGTTCAGCGGTGTGTATGGGCAACTGCTGTTAATGTAAAAGACAAGTTCATTTATGTAACTCAGCCCACACTGGACAGAGTTCTTATTGTTGATGTACAGTCTCAGAAAGTTGTACAGGTATTTATTTCTCTTTTTTTTTAAATTAATATCAAATTTGAACACAAGAATTTAAGGTTTTTGTTCATAGTTTTAAAAAAAACCCACCAAATGAACCAATTACTTCAGGGGTAAACACAGTATCTAGAAAAAAAGTTCATCTACTTTCAACATTCAGCAACAGTTTCTGTTTAGAGACTGTTCTTGTCAATAGACAGTTGGGGAGGGAGAGAATCAACATGAAAATAGTTCTTATAAATAGTAATCAATAGTTGAGGAAACAAGTTCTTTAGGAAGCTTCTGGCTTGAAGTACTTTTCACTTGAAAGCGAAGATTCATTAAAATAGAGTCTTATCACAGGAATGTGTCTATCAGTTTTGACAGGAAAGGTCAGGTTTGGCTACAGAAGGTGGAGAACTGTTACTCTGTAGGCTTTCAGATAGAGCAATTACTGTAATTGTAAAGGACACCACTATTAGCCAAGACTGGAGAGTATTAATTCAACTTCTCTATTCCTCTCTACTGTGTAAGTAGGACCTACACAGTTTCTTGGTCTCTGAATCATAGAATTTAAGGGTTGGAATGGACCTTACAGATCATCTAGTCCCAACAGCCTGCCATGGGCACAGACACCTCACTAGATCAGGTTGCACAAGGTCTCATCCAGCCTAGTCTTGAACACTTCCAGGGTTGGGGCAGCCACCACATCCCTGGGCAACTTGTTCCAGTGTCTCAACAACCTTACAGTAAAAAGCTGGATGATTGATTTTTATGATAGCTGTACCTATCAAAATAACTACTTTAGAAGATTCTAGCACAGACGAAATTGAAATGTATTGGAAATGCGAATGATGTGTGTGTATATATATATATATATAGAGAGAGAGAGAGAGAGAGACTTTTTGACTTAGGCAGGTAAGTCTCATTACAAAGACCAGCGTTTGCTTTCATTTGTAAGTTCCTTCATTGTAAATTCTTGAAAGCAAGTGCTGTCACCTGCAATTGTCCAGTACTGCTTAGCAACACACCATTAACTGGGATGTAGGAGGTGTCCTGTGCAGGGCCAGGAGTTGGACTAGATGATCTTCAAGTGTGCCTTCCGACTCTGTATATTCTGGGATTCTGGGATGTCTTAGAGGCATGCTGAAGTAAGTCATCATCGTTCAGCCCACAGTGTGCTGCTGACAGATCAGCCTGGCTAGCTAGAAACAGCTGTGGAAGCTTGTTCCAAGATACTTAGCTCCTTTTTGCTGCTGGCTCCTCTCTTGGGAGTTGTACTACCTGTGCCTGACCCCACAGGCGATTCCTTCGGCTCCTTTTGACTGTGCCATGCCCCCAAACCTGAATGCAGCTGGCAGTCCTTCAGCAGAGCACCTATGGGTCAGACCTTAGTCTGGAGAAGCCAAAAGGAAATTTGACATGCCTGAACAAATTAGCTGTACAACAGCCCAAGTATTATTTTAAACAACTTGTCTTCTAGCCTGCAGCAAAAAAAAATGTTATGAAACACAACTGACCTTTTTCAAGGGGTAACTTCTGATTTTAAATGAGCCAGTGAGCAACCTGTCTTCATTTTCCATTTTCAAAAGGAAAACCAAATTCTGCTTAGATGAAGCTGTGGCTTGCAACACCTCAAGAGTACAGTTAAGTATCATCAGCAGTCACAGCCAGCCATTAGTGCATTATCTTGAGGATCTACATCATTAGTTTAAATTAGGTTCACTTAATTAGCCAGCTGGTACTCTCCTTGACACACTGATAAACAAGCTGTGCTTTACAGTTTCATAATGGTAAGACTGAAAAACAATTTCCACATATATTTTCTGCTTTAATGATGAAAATAGAAAAGTAATCCCCCCAGTTGTTTACCTTGTGCAGATCGCCTCATAATCAAATACTTTGTCCTCCCGTTTCATACCTTTGAAGTCTTCAGTTCTCATAACAAAGGAAGCTTAGAGCTCAACTGTCTGAAAGGTCCATGGTCTCAAGAGACAGTGCTCAAGGCTAAACACTTTGGTTCTGATCACAAGTCTATCAAAAAAGTAGCAACTGTAATTCGAAAACATGTGAAAACAATCTTTCTGACTTCAAAAAAATATACCTATTTTAGCAGATAGGAAGCTTTGTGTGCAGCAACATCATGTTGGTTTTATGCAGTAACACTTTGCATTGATTTCAGTATGTGGCTTGAGAATACTTTTCCCTTTAAAACCATTTTCAGTAATTGGTGCAGTTTTTCAACCAATATATAGGAAGTGAGAGTGATGGTAGGGAAGGAAGATAAGTACTTTTTTACTTGATTTAAAACCTTTGTTTTCAGCTTCTTAATAGCTTCAGTGTAATGTAATTTTGATGCCAAACCTTAGTACACATAATGAATAAAAAACACATTTTCAGCAATTCAGTAACTTTGAATTAATCAGAGGGCTGTTTCAACGATTGGCAACATAATTTTTAAATACAATCTGAAAACATCAGGAGATGCATGTCTACTCATCATTTTAATTCAAGCATATATATTATTTTTCCTTTGAAAATGTGACAGAAACTAAGGATTTCTATTTTTATTATGCTTCAGGCAGTAAGTACAGATCCTGTTCCAGTGAAACTACACTATGATAAATCACATGATCAAGTCTGGGTGCTGAGCTGGGGAAGCATGGAGAAGAATTCACCAACTTTGCAGGTGAGGTGATCAGAATGTTTATATCTAAGGAAATCTAGACAAGTTGAACCTTTGTGTAAATGCAATGCTTTGTATGTTTTCCTTTAAACACTGTTACCTTGACCCCAGCGCAGGCAGGTAACCAGATTTCAGGCAACCTGGAAACAAGTCAGATAATTGACTTTGCTAAAAAAGCTGGAGATTTACAACAGCCTTAGTCAGAAGTGACAATGCCAAATTGATAGAAGGATTAAAAATACAGATGAAAGCAGCAGCATCTTCTGTCTGGCAGCAGCCTGTCAGTGTTTTGAGAGCAAACTATTGCTGTTTATGGTGGCTTTGTCCCTAATTAAGGGATAAACTGGACTTTAGACATATTTCTATTTCACTAAAATTATATTGATGCTCTGGACATGTCAAGCTCCATCTAATTTATTTTCCTTTTCTTCAGAAGTGAATTAAATCCTTCTGTATTTAATATAAATTTATATATAAGGAAAGGAATAAAAGACATTCCAACAGAAAAATAAGTAACATTTGAAAACATCTTTTTAGCCTCTAAAGGCTCTTACTAACTTTGAGTATGCAGGATAATTTGTGGGAGTTTAGCTGTCACTTCTCCCCAGATGACTGATAATTGAGTCAGTCTTATCATATTTTAAAGTGACTGATCATCCTCATCCTTGTTTTTCTTACAGTATAAATAATATATTATTTTCTTTTTAAAAAAATCCACTCTTAAATTCATGTATGTGAATATCATACTGGCTGTTCTATGGACTTTTCTTTTATTTACCAATAAACAGAAGAAAAGAAGGTCCAAGATTTGGGGATTTGAGGAAGATTGGTTCTTAACAATTTAAGGAATATGTAAACTCAGTGCATCTTGCTCTTCTGAAATATGTCTGTGTTGTGTTGAATTACCTCATGATTGACAACAATTGGGAGTATTCATAGCCATATGTTCCAGTGGATCAGTTGATAACGTCTTATCTTTTCACTTTGGCTGAAGTGCTTAAGAAATTTAATTTCACTCTGGGATCTAGTGTTAAAAAGAAAGAAAGGTTAATAAAAAACTTAGTTTGTATTAAGAACTGCTAGAGACTTTAGGTAATGTAAATGAATAAATATGGATTCAGGGGTGATAATAGAAGAGGGAAGGGAAAAGTAAATATGAAGATTAAGTGGTCAGGTATGTAACAGTTCTCTGAAATCTGTAGTGCAGATCAGCTCTGTTCACGGTCATTTGCATTTGTTTTCTTGGTAACTGAAAGATAATCCTGTGCTGGTTTGAAAGCAAACCAGTGAGAGACTTCAAGTCAGAAACACAATTTAATAGGGGAAACAAAAAAATAAATGCAACAGTACAAAAAGAAACAGGAAGCAAACTGACACCCTGTCAGTCAGGGTGTTGGTAGTAATCCGATTAAATGGTGGCTGCAGTCCTGGAGTGATGGGTCTGGTGAAGCAGTGATCCTGTAGATCTGGTCTTCACCTGAAGGTCCAGTGGTAGCTCTTGTCCTCTGGGAAAGCAATAGGTAAGGGCTGTGGGAATTCCCTGTGGGAATGCTTGGCTCCACCCCTTGGGGTGAAGCATCTCCCAATGGGACTATGTAATTCTAGGGGTCATGCATGAGTCCCAGACAGCCCATTAAACAGAGACAGCCCCTGAGGGAGCCATCAGGGATGAGCAGGAGATAACAATCCCTGCCCTCACCTGCTTTAACAGCTTGTGAAGATGCTACTAGAATACATACTATTGGTAACACCCTACATTGTAACCTAGGACAAATACAGGAGAAGACATACAGAGGCAATACTGTATAAATTCATTTGGATAGTGATTAAATTCTGCAAGAGTATTTTTATAGTTTATAATGATGTTACTTTATGCAGGTGATAACGCAAGCCAGTGGGAGTGTTTCTCATCACACTATCCATACTCAGCCAGTGGGAAAGCAGTTTGACAGAGTGGATGACTTTTTCATTCCAGCTACAACCCTCATCATTACCCATATAAGGTGAGTTTTAGCTGAGTTATAATTAGCTTTCAAATTAACTAGTACAAGGTCTCCAAAACCAAAACAAATTAAAAAAAACTTGAACATCTAAGACCATGCATTGGAACACCCTTTGTCATAAACAAGCTGAATGTGCGTTCTAATGAAAACAGCCTAGATATCAGAATGCACACATTTATTAGTGTTTTTCTTCCTTGTCCTTCTAAATGTTCAACAGTTCAACTGCTCTACATGCAATATCACCTGTGGTTTTCTTGAGAAACTGATAACTGCGATATTTAGATAACTCCCTAATTTAGGAGCATAAATCTCAATTTGTAAACAATACTTATTAAATAAATAAATAAATAAATAGATACTGCTCAGAGCAGTTGCCATATACAGTATTTGCCATATTGTATTACATTATTCTCTTCTTTAACGAATCAGCAAAAAAAACACTTTTGAAGTTTCAAGTGGAATCATGATATAACAAAACTTACCTCTTTATGAACTGACTTCTCATGCTCATTTAGTTCATTCTACCTGCTTTTTCATGAGGCTCTCTGTTTTCAAAACAAACCATGACTGAGCAGGTTACATGAATTCTGTTAAGATGCATGTATAAAATTGGTCTTATTTCATGAGTGTCAAGTATGTGATGTTACAATAGTTCATATTGTAAACTGTGCTAGGAAACACTGTAAATTCTTGGGACCTTGGTTAGGATTGTCTTTGTATTTGTCCAAAGAACAGACACATTCTAGAGATTCTGGCTATGATAGGAATACTCTTAAGTATGGAAGAATGGAACTAGTTGACTAGCTGGATTTTAAAAGACATGGGACAGAAAAAGAGTGTGTGAAGAAAACAGGGCAACACTTAACACAGCTCTCCCCAAGACATCATAAATTAAAATCTATTTTTCTTCCTCAAAATGCATTAGTAAGAATGTGATATATAATTATCTTTTTTTTTTCATGTAACATTTCTACCTATTTGAATAACTCTGCAGTCTAGGGTTTCTACGTCTGAGTATTGCATAAATGTGTATTAGCACTTTGTATCTTTAGGATTGTTAAGTTTCTTTGCAAGCTGACACAGACCCATTCCATCTTGAAACACCTCCATCAACAATTAACTCAATTACTTATTCTGATATTCCAAATTCAAATTTCTATACAAATGCCTTCATTAGATGATCTTAACGGTCCTTCAATTACAAGACCTCATCATTCACTTTTAGGAATAATCTCAAATCAGGGTGGTAAATATGCATTTTGATTTAAAAAGATATAATTTCAGATTGTAGTGAGTAGTAGGGTTTCTTTAATGTGAAAACATGCAATTTAGGATTATTTTACAATTTATTTCAGCATTTGCTCTCTACATGCCTGTGAAGAATCTAGTCTGTATCAAATTTGTCTTCTCCTAAAGACACTGTTGATGAAAGATTGCTTTTTAAAATTTTCTACAAAACTCTTAATTAAGAAGGAAATGAGCAATCCGCCATATACAATTTTAAAAGAAATGTATAAATTAATTTAGCTGAATAATAAATTGACTCTAAGTACCATTATTATCACATTTCTTGAACTGAGTAGGTAAATGCATGTTGTGTCCCTGAAGTAATCCACAGCCCTCACACTCAGCCTTAGAAAAGCATTAAATATTTTTGCTGTAAGTTACTGCTTCATAAACTAGCAAGTGCTAGAGGTACGACCCCAGCAGAACTGACATTTTAAATACTTTAATTTTCATGTAAATAGGAAAATAAAAACATGGATCAGGATAAACGTCAAACAAGAAGGGGAATCAGGATGGGGAAAAGAAAAATAGGATCAGTCCAAAGCTAGTGTTGAACTCTTCTTGTCTAACTCAAACTATTTTAAGTTGGTATTTTGCCTAAATAGGTCAAGTAGGCGCTTTCTGCTTTGCATGATGAATCACAGCTACCTTCAGCTGATGAGTCATTATACCTATCCTATATGCAACTTAAAAGAAGGGAGAATGAAAGAACCCACAGAAATAAAAAAGGAATATGAAATTCAGTTCAACACTGAAAGAATAAAATTGGATAAGTGACTGCACATACGTAATAAATACATCAATTCAGGTCTCTTATAATTGCTGGTATTTTTGATGTTCGTTTTTTGAGGAGGGATTGGTTGTTGGGTTTTTTTGCACGCACATTAAAGAAAAAAAATGGAAAATTTCTGACATGTGGCAAAAAGCCTGCTGTAGTTTGTCCAGTGCTAAAACCTTAGATCTAGGGATTTTAACAAACCAAATCAATTCAACAGCAATTAACTGTTTTTATCTACTCATGAGCTTTTTGAAATGCTACCTAATTCTGAGCACCTTCTCTAGAAAAGAAAAACTCCACTATATATACAAATACAGTATATTAATTTTTTTATGTATTCTTTCAAGAGCTATTTATGTTAGTCAGTTGTTAAAGAATTTGCCTTCCATAAAATATCTGGCCTTCAAATAATTTGATTTTTTGTTTAAATAAAAATGAACTATGTGAATAGGGTGTCAGGAAAGATTTTAAATTAACTGTATTCATCGAATTAGTAGCAATATATAAAAAAACTGTCTATTAAATTTAACATCACCAGTCAACAATAAAACTGCTGGATAACAGCATGTATTTCTTAAGGTTGTTAGGTAACAAACATAAAGCTTGAGCTTATTATCCTTTGGTGTATATACCAACCAGGGGAGCAATTTATGAATGTGAATTGCAAAAAACAGCTGCAAGGGAAATAACCCCACTGGCTAAGTTAGCTGGTGTCGTTCATTGCTCAAGGGCCCTCTTTGTTACAAGTCAGTTCTCTTTTACCATGCAACACCAGCCCCTTCCAAAAAAATCAAAGCTTTCTGTAGCTAGGTGCATTTGTCACCTGTAAACTGAAATTTTGAATGATGGAGCAGAAGACAATATGCATGGCATACCAAATTAGCATCCAGAACCAAACCTACTGTCTGAATAAAGGCGTTTCTAAGAAAAAAAAAGGCATACCACTTAAAAGAATGAATGTTTCATAGCACAGTTGACACAAACCATCTACTACATCTACAGTGTGTTACAGTCTACTGCATATTCTGTCCCATTGGTTATTCTTTAATCACTGTAAAGAGCATGGAACAGATGGCAAAGATAGGTTGGCTTGTTAACACATAGGAACAGAAATAAAGGTGAATAATTTAAAGCTATAGTCGGTCATTAGTTTTTTTTACTTTTTAATAATTGCTAAAATGGTAATTGCTAATAGTACATATGTAAGTATCTAAAACTTGTTGGAAAATAATTTTATTTAAGAAGTGATGGAACTATACATTTGCTTTACCTAGATGAGTTAGTTTTATATGTGAAAATGAAAAATGCAAATGAAAATGCAAATATGCTGCCCATTATTAAAAAAGAAAACTCTGCACATTTTTATGCTCTCTTGGGTAGCAGATGATTTAGGACGCACTTCCTACAGATCAGGCATTTGAAGGGATACTATAAATTTTGGTCTGAAGTAAACAGTAATTTATCTGAAGGAAAAAAATGTTTTCCCAAAACTTTTCCTGTCACAGACTGAAGCAACATTTGGTTGTGCTTACCATACAGCAGGAGTCAGGGCAGATAAACTTTTGGTTTGGTGAACAGCAAGGATAACATTCATGTGCTGAACAATTGTGATGCACTATCAAAGCAGCAGCTAGTCAATCTAAGTAGGCATGAGGCAAAAGTAGAGGAAGAATAGACCAATTCTGTTATCTTTAAACCCTCTTTTGCAATTGGTGGATAGCTGATATGCGTACAGAAGAGGACAAGAAAAGAAACTTTACCATTTTGAGGAAAAAAATGTGGTAGGTGCAGTACCGTCAATTAGTTTTGGGATGTTAGGAAGGTGCTTTTCTCTCTTTTATGTTCCAGTCATACTATTGTCTTCCATTGCTGAGATGAAGGAGAGACAGTTTTGTGCATCTGCTAACCATATATGTATATATATGAAAGAAAACATTAGTGAAAATCTACTCATTAGCTCCCTAATAATGTCTAGAGCATCCCACTGATGTTCCCAGATAGCAAATCCATGCTTGTATAGAGCCTCAGCTGCAGCTAGGTCTGTTTGGCAACCCATGATAATGGTCTAAAAATACAGGTGTCTTAATTCTAGAGTTTGTGTGGGGTTTTGACAAGACTAGTTCACCTACTAGGGAGGGGTTGCCTCATGCCTTTGAGCATTCCTTCATGATGGAAATAAAATTCCTTCATTTTCTCACAAAGCAAGCTTAGATAAAATCAGTGTTTGCTATGACTTTTAATGAGTTTATGGTGCCAGCTAGTTGTAGTGCAATGTACAAAAGTTCTTAGTCAGTCAGTAGCAAAAAAATTATTATAAACTAGTCATAATTATTAACAGAAAGAAGCCTGAAAGAAATTTGCTCAGTCTTGCTGTTGGAAATCTGAAGATATCAAAGGGAAGAATTTATATATTCATCTTGCATCCCTTAAAAAAAATCTTGTTCCGCTGTTGTCATTGGCTATGTTTTACCTCTGACAGGTCCACTCCCTGTCAATATACATAGGATTATACCAAGATAATGAATTAATGTAAAGCATTGCTTTTCATGTACACCATCATGCCATATGTTCACTGCACACAGCTTGGAAAAAAGTCTCCCCTCAGGTTGTATTGGAGAATTATCAGACACGCCACAAAATTAGGTAGGATGGTATCTATGATTCTGTAGAAATGGTACAAATCCAATGGTGTTTTTTCAGTTATTACTGAAGCTTTTTCCTTTTGGAGATGCAGCTTATAAGAATTAAGTATATATTTTCAATATTTCGCCTTATACATACTAAAAAGAAAATTTTATTCAGTGATCTATTTTCTGCACCAAAGCAGTTCAGCACAACCAATGATCTTGTCCTTAATTCTCTGCTAATACCCTTCCTTATTATAAAAATAGACATTTGCAATTAGTGTGTGTGATGGCTGCAGAAAGATGACTTG